TAACAAGATAGTCTCGTGAACCATTTACACCGGCAACGCCGTACAAACATACTGACATTTAACTTCTTGGTTACGAATCGATGCTTCCATGTGCTATGAAACATCACTTAATAAGTTCTGATAAAGAGAATTACAAGAACATCTTATTTCGTTCAAGAGAGAGATTAACGCCTAATCCAAAGCAACGATTTAGTAAATACAGAAAAGAAAATAATCTAAAAAAATGTTAAATGCCCTATTTATAATAACCATTATTAACAACATTGCTAACCAAACACTTCCTCTGTAGCTAAATGGTATAGCACGTCAGGCTATATGACGGTTCCATGTAGGATACAGGTTCGATTCCTGTCGGAGAACACACATTATCTTTGAGATTTCATGGGCATTCAGGCCGGTAAATGTTGGTAACACTGTTTATTATAAACAGAGCATTTGTGTGTGTAAGTGAACATTGAATTCAAGTCATAGAGGTGACAGACCGTGTAATGCTAAACGCAATCATCAAAACACAACGCATGTGGCTTGATGATTGCGTTTAGCATGAAACAGTCTGAAGAGGCGATAATGTTCATTTTTATATTTACATACGCTCTATGATGTTGAAAACTTTATGCCATAAATATAGCAGGCCTTAAAACTGTATCTGTACACTTGACAAAGCAATTAATAACAGACAACAAAGACTGAATGTAAAATGTCTCTCCTTCAGGAAGGATGCAACGGAGTTTAATCAACTCGAGACTATCTACAAATAGTGACTCAGTTCATTGAAAACAATAAGAAAATATAAAACTCTAATTGATTTGATTCTGTTGAACATGAGAATGCCTTTTTATTCCGTACAAACTACAATGAATTAGAACACATGACTAGAGAAAATTATGTGAATGTTCTGGAATTAAATATGACAACTGTACGTTAATAATTCGATTACCCAAATTGAATAAAACACTAGTGGGAAGTTATATAGCTTAGGAAGCTTCATTCAACTGAGAATATTTTAGTTCAAGACTAGATAATATTTACAGTGATTTTTACTAGGAGAGTTGTTTAGACAAGGGAGATAACCCCCCAACTTTTTCAATTATGGGATTACCTACCACAAATGCACTATGAAATTATTATTTTTTTTACAAAAAGTAGGTAGAGGTTTTGGTTAGGAGGCAATTTATGCGGTTATCCGCATAAATTGCCTCCTAACCAAAAAAGGGAAGATAACGATTAACCCTAGCGTTGATGATCGGAGAAATATCCTCGAGGGAGCCTGAATATTCGAGATTTCTTGGATATTCAGATGTGTATTCTCTAAGAATAACGTTTACAATAATCTGTCGGGTAATAATAATAATCCATCACTTTTTAGAAATTTGAAAATGAGCACAGATGAAAAAAAAGCCCCCCGATCACTTGTAACAGACTCGTATAAAAAATGACATTCTGGTGGAGAAACACGTATAGAATCTTCCAAATGAGAAAACATTTGTCTGTTTTGAAAAGCAGAATTCTGAATCCTTCGTTAAAATACCGATTCTGGCAATTATCACAACCACGAAATGGAAAATGTTTCTAGATTTTTCTTTGGTTTGGTGCAAAAAAAAAAACAAACTACGAATCAAGAAAAATATAAAAAATAGTCTTCATAAAGTTAATGTCTAAGTAATAAAGGTTAAATTTTGTTTATAAATAATATCTATTTCATACGCATACATACCACACATCACCACAAAACATACAAATTCCATTTTCGCTTCACTATCATTTGCTATATAGATTTTCTGCAAGTGAGGTATTTATTTATATATAAATATTTAGCTATTTACATGTAGATTCTTTATTAAGCTTCGTTAAGTCCAGTAAATGTTTACTAGGGTCGGGCATAAGTCTGGATCCAATTTACAATCAATGCTCAGTGAGACTTATATAGTAAGCATCGCTCTATGACAGGTGAGATGGATGTTTGCGATGTTTGGTTTGTAAATCTGAAGAGACTGGAAATAAAATGAAATTTAAGCGTGCCAAGAAAAGAGAAGAAAAACGGGAAAGAGGAAATAAAAATAAAGAGCAAAAAAAGGAAGAAAGTGTTAAATTGTAAAGAATTAGGGATGAAAGCTGAATTCAAAGTTAAGAAGAAAAGACCACTAAGAAGAAGGATGATAAACGTGCCATGTAAAGAGAACATACAGCGGTTGCTATGATTTCACACCCACATACACTCCGTCATTTTATTCGCCTGCGATTGGCTAATAAATTACTACTACCTTTGTATAGGACAATTTAGCCATCGCTGTCGTTCCTTTGAATCTTTTGGTTCTGAGCATACTTACCTATTCTGTTTAGTACGTGTGTAGTAATTGGTTAATATTTAACCAATCACATATTTTTAATGTAAGATCATGTTTTCACGCGTTTCTGTGGGAGCCTACCTCTCTTCCTTAAATTGGGAGACTTTTCTCACGTCGCTAGTAAGATCCAGTAGGATCCTAGCTGTCAACACAAATCCACGATCTTGCTCAACACAAAATTTTTCACCAAGCCCAATCAACCAAATCTTTGTTGATTCAAACCAGTTTATTCACAACACATTTCAAGCAATTGTATTCTGGATGTTATTCATTCTTCACATGCAAACTTTGCTCTAACAATTATTTCGGAACATTTATCTCATAAGAAAACTTTCTTCAAACGGTTGATTACAATCAATATACAGTCAAAGGGAAACAACTTCCTTCTCTTTAATCTACATTGTGAATACGATTTTATTTCATGCTTGTTGTTGTATTTTATTCAATATATATTTGTTGGTTAACCAATTGGAGTTGTTGTTATTATTACTTGTATCCTGTATGTGGAAGAATCATTAATATAAATAGTAGTAGTATCTATATATTTTGGTGTTTCTGCTACATTTAGTGAATCGACCCGACGCTATATTTGGTACGTACGCTACAAACATATAAAATCTGAAAAGAAAGACAAAGAAAACGACGAAAGGAAAATAAAATAACATTGAATGGGCAGAAAGAAAAAAAAAACAACAAAAAGCAGAGAAAGTGTAAGAAAAGGGATATAAGGAAAGAGATGATCAAAAAGCGGGAAAGAAAGATTTGAAAATTAGCATAAAACGTGGTAAAGAAACCAATGAGAGATGAATAAGAAATAAACGAAGAATTCGGCGTTGAAATAAAGAAAGAAAACCGAATGTTTAAGAGAAGAATTAATACCGATGTTAGAAGAAAGCAGTAGAAAACTTGAAAGAATATTATTCAAAAACTAAGAAGAGAAATAAAAGAACAATATAATAAATACATGAAATAGAAAGAAAGAGACAGAAAGCAATAGCTAGATTAGGAATAAGAGAGTAAGTGATGAAAGGAAAGAAAGAATCGGAAAATATTGGCTCAGAAAGAGCTCGATAAGAAAGAGCTCGATAAACAATAAAAGAATATTAGGTAAGGAGAAAAAAGCATTATTTAAAAATTAGACAAACAAAATGGATTTGTAACGAAATGGAAAATAAAAGAAGCAAAAATCTATGACGTATGACTGAATGAAATAAAGAATGAATTGAAAAAAATGAAGAAAGAGTCAAATGAATTTAAAGAAAATTATTTAAAGAAAAAGGCGAAAGAAGTCTGCCTGAGTACGACAAACAAGTATTAGCCAGTCAGTGACGATTACGGTTCCAACGAAACTGTAATGGTCAGCGAGATGAGCTCGATAACAATTATGCTACAATGAGTGCTACGTTTTCACTCGGATTCGTCTGGTGGCGGGAAGCCGTGGATAGGAGGAAACAATGTTGACAGAACCCCAAGCATATTGGGCTCGACGACTCGTTAAAATATTTACTAAGCTTAACTGAGTAAGGCAGAACGTCATTTATAATGTCGTCATATGAGGATCTAATTTAGTCACTATATCTGTAAAAGTCGTTCTGTCGCAGGCTCTCGGATATGTATTCCTCTAATATATACAGATATTCCTGAATACAAGATAGGAACAGAAAAATACCGACATAACCAAAAAAACATCACACACACACATATATATATATATATATATATATATATATATAAAAAAGTCAACACCCAGAGCAACACACTCATCATGAGCAATTAAAGAACCTGTATTGACAGATCTTCATTCATATTTCCTTCATCGCCAGCTTCTCAAGAATGAAACATTGTATGATGATGCCAGTGCATGCACTTCTTACTTTCAGTCCCATACATCTAGGAAACTAAGCTTTGATGGCCAAGCACAACATTTCAATAATGATGAAAAGTAATCATTAAGATAGGAAACCACTCTCATGGCAGACTATCAACTCGCATTTATTGAAAGATTAAGTTTGTTCTATTATCTATGGTATGAACTGCTTAATAATCTCTTTTTAGTATTTGACACTAGTAAAACTTCTGTTAAAATAGTGAGTAAAGCTACCATCTCGACTGTAATTCCTCTACTCTCTCACCTACTAGCAATGTTTATTGGCGTTTCTTATAGTTGCTGTAATCAGTGTCACCATGAATGAAGCGTTTTTCACCTGTGCCGATCACATACTGCAAATCAAGGTGGTCTTCGACGACCAACATTAGCTTTTGGAAATCGGTTTCTTTGTAAACTTTACGCAAATATGGTTTTTGCTTAGTTTGTATTAATAATACATGAGAATTACAAGCCAAGATTTTGTGAACAAAATATTTCCATGTTTGCTTTGCGTTAATTAATATTGGTGTAATTTCCCCAGGAATGTTTGATATATTTTCTGCAATATCTTTTTCAATCCAGCTTGTCTGCTCAGAAATCTTCATTTGTTGTGCTTCGACAGAGTTTCAAGATTAATAAAAAAAAATGTTGCGGATCAGAGGGATAAACCGATTTTGTATTTAATTGTATAGAACGTTTTTTTTTCAGCATTTGAGGTTAGTTTGAAGCATTCATAATTGTCAGAATTTTTAAGGAATCTCTTCACCGTTAGAATTACAGAAAAGCATAAAGTTGTATTTTATAGCTGGTGAATATCGAAGAAAGATATTTAATTACATTTTTTACTATTAATAATAGGATAAAACATAAATATATATGCAATTCACTTACACACAATAAAATCTAATGGCCATTATACATTTAATCCTGCCAGAATGTCGTCACTTTCTGCACGTATTCTATACAAATATATATATATAATATATATATATATATAAATAATCCTGTAGTTTTCAATATGAGTATCACTTAAAGATGGGACTGAACTTTTAACTGTCTAATGTTCAATGAATATATATATATATATATATATATATATATATATAATCACAAATAATTAAGTGCATTTAAGCAGGAGATTTTTTTTAATCATTGTGCCCCAAGCAAGGCGTGAAGCCACTAGGATGCAGGGGGTTGCGGAAGATTTGGAGCGAGAGCAGATAAGAGTGATAGGAGAAAGGAATAGGAGAAGGATAGTGGGTAGATCAAGGTAATTGGAGATGTCGATTGACATTACATTTAAATAGTTGGAGATTATAGCTTTCAGGAAACAGTAATTGGGGAGGGTGTTCCACTGGCGAGAGGTGCGAGGTATAAAGCTATTGGAGTAGAAGAGACGGCTACATTTGAAGGTTTCTACGGTGTAAGGGTGGGAGCGGGATGCCAGCCTCGTAGGGCGCTTGAATTCATGGAGCCTGGGAACCAGAGAGAGCAGCTCATCAGAGCAGTTACCATGGAAGTATTTGTAGAAAAGACAGAGAGAGGCGACGGCGCGTCTGTGAGAGAGTGACTGCAAACAAGACGCTAGATCAAGGCCAATTAGATTACATATCCTTCTCTGGATCTTGTCAAGAACTCCGAGGTAAGCAGAAGGTGCTCCAGCCCATATATGGCAGCAATACTCCATGCAAGGGCGAATGGTTGTTTTGTATATTTGAAGTATCGATTCAGGGAGAAAAAATTTCCTGGCGCGGCACAGAGAGCCAACTTTCCTCGGGTGGAAGAAGCAATTGACTCAATGTATTTGTTCCATCTCAGGTCAGTAGTCAGCGTGAGACCGAGCAGACGCAGGGAGTTGCTCTCAGGAAGTTGACTATCAGGCATTTTAATAGGGGCAGGAAGGATCTCTATGGTGGTTAATGGAGAGTAATTTAGTTTTTGTGGCGTTAAAGTTGACCAGCCAATTCTTGCCCCAGTTAACAACCGATTGGAGGTCCATTTCAAGACGCACGGCAAGATGATGTTGAAAAGTACTTTTTGCATCAAATAAATATATTTTTATCATTTGGTTGATTTTCACAACTATAATATACACGTTATTCACACACACACACACACATATATATATATATATATATATATATATATATATATATATATGCATAACTGAGTGTTTAGTAAAAGTGCACATTCCACATCAGTTTTCTGGGCATGTTTAATCAATGTTAATTTGAGAGTATGAAACATGTACATAGTGATATCTATAATTTCCTAAGTGAATATTATTGCCCATTAAAAAGTCGAATTGCTACAGAAAAATTGTAGTCAAGAAAAAGAATCAACTCTCTTTGATGATTTATGCGTTGCAAACAGATTATCATCCATTTGCTCAAAGTAAAATAACCTTTGAAATGTCATTGATCAGTTGTTGAATTTGCATTCGTAACAACCGAGTATAGGCAGGAATTGTAAGAAAAATACCATAAAAAAATCTTTATTATATAAACTGATGCAAAATAAAATGGTAACCCTCTGAGTATGTGTTTCAATCTTCTCGGGATTCCTTGTCGAGGTAATAAGGTTGAATGGCAGTAAATGATCACAGATACAGATCATTGCACAATTTTAAAATGGATGGTTGTATAAACTATAAGATTACACTGTCTATCTTACTTGGGGTTATCAGAAAATGCACGTATAAGTTAATCCATATAGAGAATACGGTAGTCAATATAACTACTACACAAGGGCGTTGCATTATTCTGTGCTTATTTCACTGTTGACGCAATAGAGGGAAATTTGTAGATCAATTAAATGGGTGAGTCAGGCGTCGTTCTCTCATATCCTATATTCAATATAAGAAAGGTCAGGTGATTTTGCTGAATAGGGAATTTGCTAAACATTTATCCAATCTTGCGGAGTACAAAACATATAATCAGCTATTATCCTGCTGTAATTGTTCTTGATGCAAAAGGTGCTTTTAGCATTTCCTCTATAATCATAAAAAATAGACAACGGTAGTGATTTTTGGTATGCCACACACCCTGATGACGTGTTGGATCGCTGTGTTATGGATGAATACCCTTTTCAAAATGTCGCTCCGCGTGTATGTCACACACACATAAACGGAAATGATGAATGAACCGGTTATCCTCACTGAGTACGACAGCAAGATTCGAACCTGCCACATCACCAACGAAGACTTGAAGGACGACGCTGATTCATAAGTGAAAGTTGCGTTATACCTGCAATCTTACTGCTAGTAAGTATTTTCAAATGGTTTCCATTGGCGCACATGAGACCATAATTTTATAAACTATGAACATTGTACTGTATATAACAATTGCTTTGAACATGATTCGATCCCGACAGCGCCTGACATATAGAACCCGGTCTACAAGTGTAGAAATGATGATTTAAATTCTGGGAGCAATATCGTAGCATCACTGAACTGTCATACGCCAGATTCACAGCAATTCTGCTGAATGCTTATCAAACCACACTAATGGACACATCAAGACCATTCTCAAACTGACTCCAATTGGAACAAAAAGAATCAATTTTGCGTGCTCGTGATGTGACACTTGCTCTCACTGAAATCACTCATTCCACTGAATCTTATCTCAGCGTGCGCCACAGTTTATCCCAACATCCACACACCGTAGCCAGACACAATCGCCATCAATTTTGCCGATGTTACAATATTCGCTGTATGGTGTTGACCTGGTTCCTCTTTACAAGTGTTCAGTCATTAATGGAGTATTTCTGACATAGTTAGTCGGGGGAAGCTCAGTAGTCACTGTTCAGAACCTTGAAAAGTGTGTTATTTGAAATCAAATGTATGTCTGTCTGTATTTATCATTTGGCTGACCAAATATCAGAATCTTATAATTCTTAAATTAACACGAGGATTTACATGGGATATTATATACTGATTTTCGAAGTCACTAGAACTGTTACCTCCTGAGAAACGGTAATTGCATGAACTGAAAACACCCTAATTTGTAGGCGCCAATATAAACATTTATGCCTCAAAATACCAGGTAAGATAACAGCGGCCAAACGGCATCATTCAAATACTGACAGGATTTTTCACCGTTCATTTAATAAGTTAACCATTGTCAATCGAACACATTGTAACGAAAGCAAAATTTTTTCACTCAATCCACAATATGAATGTATGTAGTCAATGAAGCTTTACTTTCGTTAGATAAAAATGCCCGAATTCTTTTGATAATATAATATTTCAGTGGTTAGGTAAGAGTCCTGTTTTTTCAAGTTTCTTGATCAATTATTTATGAACTTTAATTTTCTTAGTCAATTTTTCTACTTGTCATAAAGATCTGGTGATTTGATCGCAAAACGATTAAATAGTCTGTACACAGCGGACAGAATTAGGCTATTTTTCAGTGAACCATACATTTTGGTAATATGAACACAAGTAAATCTCATCAATCATCTTTTCTAGCTAATGAGAAAGTAAGTATTGTTTTAACCAGTCAGCAAGGAGATAAATGTTACTATCCAATTATCAAATCGAAGTCACTTTAGAGGAATAAACAGATTTTATAAATATTACGATTAAGTAAGATTTTTTCTTACTACAAACATTGAAATTATCTTTCAATTAAACAAAGAACGCACTCATCTTTGTTTCTATCTCAATTTCTAATAAAATGCTCTACTGTATCAACGTTTAGTTCCAGGAAATCAAATATTTGATAAAATTTCTCTTTTAAATCAGGATTGATTAATAAATAATTTTGAAGGAATATATTCCCAAGATATTAATAAGTTAACATAGGTATAGTTAAGCATAGATATTCTTTGTAAAAACGCGTTTAATATTGTCAAAAATGATTCTCAAAATGAAACCAAAAAGATTTCTTCTTCAGTATCCCCAAGTCTTTCGCTGGAAGCAGATCGATTAAATATCGTCAAATCTGTCATTAGTAAAAAAAAAAAAAAACGTAGACGATAGAAAAAAGATCAGTAAAATCAAATCCTATGTACAACGTAAAAATCCGAATCGCAGAAAATGAGAAAATCGATCTATTAAGCACACTTTTATCATAGGAAAAATATATAAAATAGTCGATGAAAATATTTCTGTTTTCTTTTGCGTTGTATGGAGTTGCATTTAACTTAATTTATAAAATTTAAAAAAAGCAACAAGTATGCAATTTTATTGTAAAAGTCATGTTCTCCGGCTCGATAATAAAGTTTGGATTTGGAATATAACTTTTATATAATCAAGTTTCTTGAAACAAGAATGTTATCAAGTGATTACTTATATTTTAAAGCTGTCAAGTAGATTTCATTTGTATACAACTTTACTGTTAATACATTCTTACAATTTACATGAATATGATATATATTAACTTCTTCGTATATAAATTGGACGAATTATCAACGTAACGTTTCGACTGTTAGTAATTTTGAATCGAACAGTTCAAAAGGAGACCTTATGCCTTGAAAGGTTTCGAGTAAAATGATCAATCACTTTTTTCTTTGGGTAGAAGTCATTTTTCAACTCAAAATTGTTTTATTTTTGTCACAGAAACAAGTAGAACAGTTGATATATATATATATATATATATATATATATATATATATATATATAATTTTTTTATTTATTTTTATTTTTTTCTACGCGACCGATTGGTCGCGTCCTAAAAAATAAACAAACATAAAATTATTATATATATATATATATATGGCTTTCTTTCGCATCTTTCTTTCTCTTCGCATCTTTCTTTTTCTTTCTTTCTTTCTCTTCGCATCTTTC